ACAGTGTTCAATTTGGAGTTGAAACTTACTTCAAGCAAGGCAATAGAGCCCTCGGGATCATTCAGAAATAATACCTATTCTTGATCCACCAGTTTGCTGGATTCATTCACACACATGGAGGTGCTGGAGATAATGCAGTTATCTGTACTTGAGAAGAATGCCACAAGCCCCAAGAAATCAAAAACTTAAAGGCAAATTAACCTAGTCCTGGATTATTTTGAATCCAGTTTAAGCTGGACCTAAAATCAAACTCCCCAATGCATAAAATAATTTGTGTCATTCTTAAACTTAAGTTAGCCCAGAGTTGTTTGTTTTGATACTGGTGATAAACATTGTCCTACATGAATTAGAATAAGTACTCAAAGTGGAGTATTTCAGTTGAAGCATGCTAAAATGTGGTATTGGTAAAGGCCAAGAAGGTGGGATATTGAACTGTGAAAACCCTTCTGACACAACTGGGATTTTGGCAAGATTATTATTTGTGTATTGGCAAAAAATGTTGATTAAACTCTCAGGGAAAGGTTTTGTTGACTGACTTGGGAAACAGGCTTTCTCTGAATCTACAATGGCCAGGGAAAGAAATATTTTGATTGGTGCTAAGGATGGGGTTCCTACTAGAATCACAAAGACATAAGGAAAAGATGATTTAGGCTCTCTTGCCAGGAAAAAGGTGAAGGGAGTCCATGTAGGCAAAAGAAGCAGATTACAGCAAGAACTTTAATATGATAGTCATCTTAGCTGTTCATCATAGCTATTCTGTGCATGTCTCATTATCCTTAAATAGCTGAGTAGTAAAATGATTTCTCTGACACTAGGATCTGATTAATAAGTAAGAATGGTCTTTCATCAAGCCTGGATGTAACTGTAGTGGATTAATCTCCAATAGAAATCACTCAGGGATAGCCTCAGAATAAAAGGAAAGAAATATTGGAATAAGAAAAAGACTGGTGACACTATATGGGTGCCAGCAATTCTATAAATCTGTAAAATTAGGACACAGTATAATTCTCTTCTTATGTTAATTTTTCCTATTGACATCAAAGGGAGGTTTGGGTTCACTTTCTTTCACAGGTTTCTCCCTTACTCATAGCCACATGCTCTGAAAATTGTCCATTCACACACCCATGGACTGTAGTCATATTTCTGACATGTGTCCCTCCCCTTGTAGTACAAGTAGATTGGACTGGAGATAAGGACAGTTGACCTAAAGAAACTAGATATTGGTGTGTCAATGTCCAATCAAATTATTCCTGGGCACCCATTAAGACTGAGAAGGAGTTTGAGAACTTAAGAAGGTCCACAAATCCTACTTTTAAGAGATCCAGAACTTTCTGACTAATTTCAGTAATGTGATTCAAGTAGCATTTAGGAGGGAGTAGCTGATATTGAATGAAAGTCATTGTAATGTTCTCTGAACTTGGCTCCTAGGCTCTGAGTTCATCCATCAGTGGCTTGGTGCCATGAGTCCCAATGGTCCTGATGCTTGGGACTTTCAAGGCTTCTGTTTAAGTGAAGTTGTATCAGTTATGGGATGCCACAGCTACACAACTGACTCAAAGGTACCACAAACTTACCCACTCCCACCCACTACTTCTATCAATGACTGGATTCCTCCTAGCCCCCCATCCACCCTCCCCCCATTCAATAGCTGCTGACCTGTACTCCCTGCCATACAGCCCCACCTGCTGAAAAGTACATTTGAAGAATGATAATATCTCCCAGACTTCAACTATAATACAATGCTATAATAATCAAAACAGTATGGTATTGGAACAAAAACAGAACACAGACCAATGGAATAAAATTTAAAGTCTAAAAAAAAAAACTCACACAAATATGGAGTCTACAACAAAGGAGCCAACACTGGAGAAACGGAAGTCTTTTCAATAAATGTTATTGGAAAAACAGGGCAGCCACATGCCAAAGAATGAAACAAGACCACCATCTCCCAACCCAACATACATACAAATTAACTCAAAATTGGTGTAAGACTTGAAACTGTAAAACACATAGACGAGAACACCGGCAAAACACTCTATGACCCAGACTTCAGTGATGTCTTTGTGGATTCATCTCCAACAGCAAGAGAAATAAATGAAGATAAAAATAACTGGAGTTATATTAACTAAAAAGTTTCTGGACAGCAAAAAGTAAAAAAAAACTATCATCAGAACAAAAAGACACCAGACTGGGAGAAATGTTTGCATACCATACATCTGACAAGGGACCAAGATGCAAGATCTACAAAGAACTTATACAATTGGCTAAGAAGCACAAGAAAAATGCTCATTATCACTTATCATCCAGGAAATACAAATCAAAACTACAATGAGATACCATCTCACCCCTATGAGAATGGTCCATATCAAAAAACCCAGAAACAGCAAGTGGTGGTGAGGTTGATGAGAAAAAGGAGAACTTATATACTGTTGGTGGGAATGTAGACTGGTTTAGTCCCTCTGAAAAACAGTAAGGCAATGTCGCAAAATATTAAGAATACATTGACCGTAAGAGTCAGCAATTCCATTCCTAAGTATTTCCCAAAAAAATGCAAAAACACCAGTTTGAAGGAATGTTTGCATTCCTGTGTTTGTCTTCACTTTTTACAAGAGCCATGCTTTTGGGATAACCTAAGTGCCCAAAGGCAGACAGTGGATTAAGAAGATGGTGGTGAATATACACAGACTACAACTTGTCACAAAAGATAAAGTCTTCCCTTTTGCAACAAGGATGGAACTGGAGGAGATTTTGCTATGCAAAATAGGCCTGAAGGTGAAAGATAAATACCAGATGGTGTCATTTAAATGCAGAATATAGAGAAACAAAACAATGGGTCAGATAAAACCTAACCTATAACAAAACCTAGAAATCTGACAGTAGAATTGAGGTTACCAGAGGGGGAGGGGAAGAACAGAAAGGAGAAGCAGAACAGTGGATTATAGGGGTGCCTTGGTGGTGGGTGGGGTGTGGTGACATACGTGTGATCCTGGACCTCTATATCATATACAGCATGGTAAGCCAGTGTTGTCTTGATTTAAAAAAAAAAAAAGTTTTTTGTAGACTTTGGATCAGAGCAAACTTGGCCCTACTATATACTTACTGGTAAACAAATGGTAAATTAACCTCTCTGGGACTCAGTCCACTCATCTGTATAACTGGGATACTAATAACTCAGTAGCCAGAGGCAGTGGTGGGATGTTGGAAAAACAAAAGTCAGAACTGAGTTCATAAAATTATAAATTATAGAAAAATAAAATGCAGGTCAGTAAAACTTACTGGCACGGCTACTCTGATACTTTTAAAATATTTCGTTGTATTCTATTGTTTTATACTGTATTGCATTCTATACTTGTAGCCTGCTTTTTACTCTTAACTGTTTTTTTTTGTCGTGTTAATTAAACCAAGTAAGTACACTAGCAGAAAAGAAATACCACTAATATTTATCCCAAGAATTTAATCTCAAGAACATATCAGACTGTGCATGAAGATATTTTACAGAACAATTTATATTGGTGGAAAAAAATCTTAAAATGTATCAGTACATTCAATGCATGTGAATAGAATACGTAGGTAAAGGTATTGTGGATATGGAAAGTTAGCCATAATAAACCATGAAATGGAAAAGCTGGCTTTATTTTACAATGAGAATATAACTATGACGTGAATTGTCATTAAAAAAAAAAAAAAAAAAGTTAAGAGGCCCTCCCTGGTGGCACAGCAGGTTAAAGCATAGCACTAAGGACCTAAAGCCACTTCCGCATGAGTTGGAAACCCGCCTGCCCCGGAGGTGACCACATGGTGCAGCAGACCTCTCCTGACCTGCTCGCTGCTCCCCTCAGCAGTGCACTTCGTCAATCTGCCTGTTCTGCTCCCCACTCTGTTTCTGGTGAAGCCTCTCGCCGCCCCTGAGCCTCTGGCCTGTACCTCAGTTCTGTATGCGCAAATAAATAAATCTTTAAAAAAAAAAACTTAAGAAACTAAAGAGCAGTGTGTGTATCATTATATATACTAATAATAACAAAACTAGGATTTTTAACTGAGGGCTGCAGATTATGGAAAGACTTCCATTTTCTCTATCATTTTATTTCCTTACTATAAGCATTACAGTATTGGGAAAATGATGAGAATTTTAAGAGGCTTTTCTTTAAATTGCCTTCCAAAAAAAAAAATCTTAACTTTTCCCCACTTACCTGGGCACGTATTCCTTGCTACTTAAAGTGTGCTCCTTGGACCAGAAACAAAAGCATCACCTGGGAAGACCGAAGATGCAGATTCCAAATCCCACCATACACCTTCTCACTAGGATCTGCTTTGCCACAGAGGCCACAGGCCTTGCTGAGCACCTGTCAGCCAGAGGTCTGAGCAAGAACCGAGCAGAGGGGTCCCCTTTCCCTCTCTGAGCCTGGTTCTTCTCTGCTCAAGGGGACCACGACAGAGGTGTCCTGAGGGTCCCTTCGGATTGCAGTTTTCTAAGTTCATGTTTTGTGGTTACTTGCGTGTCTACAAAAAGGCAGCTGGAGAAACTACAGGATGAGCGGCCTGTCTGCCTGCGGCGGGATGCAGGTTGGCACTGACGCAGCCTCGCTCCCAGCCGGGCAGCAGATTGCTCAGGCTTTCTCCTGGTGCCAGGCCGGAGTGCACCCAGATTGGCCGGATTGGCAGTCCGGGTCGTCACCGGGCGGCAGGAGGCGCTGCGAGGCGGGAGGTGTCACGGACCCAGCGGGCGGGCATGCAGGGTGCAGGGTGGCCTCGGGGCGGCAGTAGGCGCCGCGATGCCACCGGCTGGCAGAACCCGGGACCGGCTGGGGCGCGGAACCCCAAGGTGGCAGAGGGCGCTGCAGAGCCGTGCTTCGCTGAGGTTTGCCGCGCCTCCTGGGTCGCCCCGGGAATACACCTGGGAGGGTGGGGGCGGCTGGGGGCGGGGCCCCGGGGCAGGGCCCAGGGGCGGGGCTAGGGCCGACCCACAAGAGCCGTGGCCGCGCCGGCCCGCGATGCTCGCGCTGGACCCCGAGCGGAACAGAGCGTGCGAGCCCCGGGCTTTTCGGAAAGAGTGAGGTGAGCCCGCCGCGTGGGGGAAGGGCGCCGGCTCGGGGTGTCTGACCCGGTGCGGCCGCGGGGTCCACGGATTCCCCGGTGCGGTCCCCGCAGTCGATAGCGGTGAGGTCGCAGCCCGAGGCTGCTGCCTCTCTGTGTCTGGGCTGCAGGGAGGGTCGGCGCTCTGACGGCTGCTCCCACGGTGACCCCGGTCGGCACACCTCTGACGCGAGAGCATTTGCCAGAAACAGGGTCTGGGGTCCTATTTCTCCGTTTCTCTTCTGGGCACCTGCTTCCCTTCCCCTCCCCACCACCACCCCAACTTTTCCTGGACTTGGTGAGACACATGGACTTCACCGCGACTGTTCCTTTTACCCTCTGGACTCTTGCTTCTGGGGTGACTGTGGTTGCAGAAAGAAGCAAACACTTGAAGCGAACTGGTTCTCTACGGTGCTTCAGCCCAGAATGCCCTGGGACAGATGCCCTGGCTTCAGCCCAGGACGGCACCCCGGGCTCCCAGTCACCCAGGGCCACGGGGCAGGGGCTGCAGAAGCACATGCAGGTGCCCAGGCCAGGTGCCAGAGCCAGAGGCTCAGTCAGCTCACTGTGCTAAGGGGGTTGGGTGGGGATTGCTTAGCATCCTGTCAGGAGCCAGCACCCTGACATTCCAGAGTTCTTTGAATGTCCTTCTTATGCTCCTAGACTAACCTAACCTCTCTGCAGCTCAGTTTCTTTCTCTGTGAAAAAGAGGTAGTGCTAGTAGCTTACATCGTTACAATGAGGACTAAATAAGGTACTGTGTAAGGGACTGAGTAGGAAGCCTCAGAATACGGTAAGGACTGAAACCTGACAGCTGCTATTCTTGCTGTTGTTGATGTCATTGTTTTATTTCTATCATCATCAGAGTAGTAGTTGTTCAACTAGGAGCTGAAGTAGTAGTTCAATTAGTAGTGGAAGACATACACTCCTGGGTTCAAGTTCCAGCTTAACCAGTTTCTAACAGGATCGTAGGCAACTGCCTTAAGTTCCTTAACTTCTTTGTGCCCACTTTATCTGTATGAGGGAAAACAAGGCCCTTACCTCGGCAGATGGCTGTGGAAATGAAGTGAGTTGAAGTCCTGGAAAGTGAGTTCTATTTGATCAAGAGAGCAAACTCACTAACAACAACCTTGCTTTGCCTCGAAGTTAAAAGGATGTGTGTGGTGAACGAGACAGGTCCCCTTCTTTCTCCTATGGTTTCACTTATGACATTGGCCGATCCATTCAGATTCCCCGAGGCCCTGGGAAGGGGCTGATAGGGCATAGGGCCCAGGAGTTGTCTTCAGTGAGGAGGTGGAGGTCTGGAGAGCAGGAGCTCAGGGAGTTCAGTGTTTCCATTGACCATTTGCAGCGAAGACAGACTTCCCGGGGTGTGGTTTCATTTGATAGGGAATGGAACATGGATTTGGGTTTCAAGAACAAACAACAAAGTCAGGATGGAGAGAAAGTAGCTCCTCAACTTCAGAACTTCTGCCTGAATTTTGGCACTTTGGAGTGGTACTGAGGCAGGTAAAGATGGACAATGCTGGCCCTCCCTGGTGGCGCAGTGGGTTAAAGCACTGCACTGAGAGGTTTAGGCCACTTCCTCATGAGTTCGATCCCTGCCTGCCCCAGAGCTGACCCACACGGTGCGGCAGACCTCTCCTGACCCGCCCACTGCTCCCCTTAGCAGTGTACTTCGTCGATCTGCCTGTTCTGCTCCTCACTCTGTCCCTGGTGAATGTTCTCACCCTCCGCATCTCTGGCCTATACCCCAGTTCTGTATGAATAAATAAATAAATCTTAAAAAAAAAGTTTCTCTTTAAAAAAAAAGATGGACAATGCTTAAAATGATCTAATGAAATAAATTCCAGCTCCCTAGAGGGTCAGATGTATCTCTGAAAGGCCAGGACCATGTCAGTGTGTGCAGTTTGTGGTGGCTTGGCTGCCTTCTGGAGCCCCACCTCTGTCTCAGGATTCTGTTTCCCTGCCTCATAAACCTGCAACCCACTAGCATCATAAATTTGAAAACCTCCTGCCAGCTCCCTATTTTGAATGACACCCTACGGAGTCAGGATGAAGAGCAAATAGCTCCTCAGTTTCAGAACTTCTGCCTGAACTTCACGGAGCCTACTCAAGTGCTTGCAGCAGACAGAACCTCTGGAGGCCTGGAGCCCACCCTGAATGTCCTGCTCCAAAAATAGACTAATTGGCCTGTGGAGACAAAGGGGATGCTTTGCACATACTCCCCCATACCAGCATTCACCACTGTTGGAAAGTGTTGTGTTTATTATCCTGAGATTGGAAATTCAGTAGCTCTTCCTGCCGCCCTTTAGCTCCAGGTGCAATTAATTACCTGTCTTGGGGAGAGGGTAGCACCCTGTACAATACCAGGCCCCTCAGAGGCACACACCATCATGGCTAAGGCTGCCAGGTTCCAATCCAGCTCCCCCACTTACTAGCTCTGTGATGTTGCATAAGTTACTCCACCTCTCTGGGCTCATTTTCCTTCTCTGTAACATGGAGGTAATAATAGCACTCCTACCACCTGCGGCTGTTGAAACATGAAATGTAATATATATAGACTATGTGTGTATATATAGAGGCTGTGTCTATTTATGAGCTAATCAGACTATAACCACACGTGAGCTCCTACATATACCATCCACGCACCCACAGAGTCCTTCATTTCTAAAAGGAATGTGATTTCACATTGTCAAGTTTCTGTCACTGAGATGCTTCGTACATTGTTGCATAGGGTATTTGCTTTCCAACATTCTCCCCCTAACTAAGCTGTTAATCAAATCAAACTATACTCCCCAAATTAGTAGCATCTTAGAATCAAAGAAATACGACATAATGCCAGGCAAGTATTCAGTGGCCAGCAGTTGTAGGCTGTTGTATCGGGTGTTCTAGAAGTACTAAGGGCTTGCCTATACAAAGAGAAGTGAAACAGAAACATCCTGCTTTCTGAAAGCAGAAGAGAAGGGGGCCGGGAGAATTCGGCCAGGGAGGGACTCAACCTGATCTAAGGTGGCCACTGGGAAATTCTCTTGGCAGATTTACCACTCAGAAGCCATCTGCGGGGTGCTTTACCCATGTCCCACACAGAGCCGGGCACCAGGGGATCGGACCGGACAGGAATGCCCCCTTGAGAAGGGTGGGCAGTGGAGGCGATAGGCGAGGTGGCAGCCCTCTGGTCCCTGGCTGAGCGGATTATGTGGAAGCCTCTGGCTCCAGGTGCCGAGGGAAAGGCCCTTCAAACCCGTCCAGTGATTCACAGGTTGAACCTCACCCTGCCCCCACAGGGCTCGGCCCGGGGGAGCAAAGAAGGAGGAGGCGCTCTTTGGCAGTCATGGTGGCCTCAAAACAAATATCCTGGAGAGAGGGCCAAGGCTTCCGAAGGCAGCCCAGAGAGCACGTGGGCCGGTGTTCCCACCTCCAGCACCTGCCAGCTCGCGGGGGTGCATGAGCTCACCTGCTTTTCTGCTCTGCCTCTCCAGCTCACCAGTCCCATCCTGGCCATGGCTCCTGGAGAGAAGATCAAAGCCAAAATCAAGAAGAACCTGCCCGTGCGGGGGCCCCAGGCGCCCACCATCAAGGACCTGATGCACTGGTACTGCCTCAACACCAACACCCACGGCTGCCGCCGCATCGTGGTGTCCCGTGGCCGCCTCCGCCGCCTGCTCTGGATCGCGTTCACGCTGACCGCGGTGGTGCTCATCATCTGGCAGTGTGCCCTCCTCGTCTTCTCCTTCTACACCGTCTCCGTCTCCATTAAAGTCCACTTCCAGAAACTGGATTTTCCTGCTGTCACCATCTGCAACATCAACCCTTACAAGTAAGAGGCAGGGCCAGGGGCCTGGCACAGCAGTGCCCACTCCACCTGCCCAAGCCCCTCCTGAAAGGGACAGGCCTCCGCCCGCATTCCTGCTTTTCAGACATTTGCATCAGTGGCCAACATTGGTAAACTGGTTCTAAATCTGTCGCCAGACCTTCAGCTCTCAACTACTTCTGGTGGGCTAGTTGGAGGATGACAGAAGGGGGCAGGAGGCAGGATAAGTTTTGCTTGGAGGTGGGGCATGGAGTGATAGAACCCCCACCCCCCACACACACCAACCCACGACACACTAAACCAGCTTAGCCATTTCCCCTGATCTCTCCAAGTGCACACCCTCACTCTCCCTGGAATGTGAGCTTGAAGGTGACTCAGAAGTGACACCCAGGTGACTTGCGTGGAAGCATCTCAGCTGCCCCAAACCCTCCTCTGAGTGAACCCAGCCCCATTAATTGAGCTCATTGAGCCCTAAGCAGGTTCAGCCCCTGGCTCTCTCCCTATTGTCTGCCACAGGACCTGTTCTAAATGGGTCAGCAGAGTCCTTCGGGAGGGTTTTTGAAAACTGACTTCCAGGCTGGTCAGAGCACTTGCCAGGGTGGGGTGGGGGTGGGGGGCAGGGAAGAGCGGGGAGGGAGGTTCTCAAAGCGCACTAACTGGTCTGGCATCACCGGTGAGTTGAGGCAGGGCCCGACATCAAAATCAGGTCCAAGACTCACCCTCCGCCTCGAAGTCTCTCTGTCCTTTCTTCTTCCCTTCCTGCCTCCCTCCTTCTGTCTCTGTCCATTCCATCATCACTTACTCAGCACCGACAAATGTCACAGTGTGTGAGGCTCTGGGGCATAGAATTGATGAACCCCAACACAGACTTTGTCTCAGTGGAGCTTCTGTTGTCGTGGAGGAGGGAAATTTTAACACATTTAATTATCCGTATAAAACTAGTAATAGTGACTTTTAATGACATGTAAATGTGTATATGCACACACACACATACACATAAAAAACTAGCTAGCTAGATAGAATAAACTCAGTGACTCGTCTCAGGGACCCCATTTTCCAGACGGGGAAACTGAGATATAGAAAAGCTAACTGACTTGTCCAGGTCACACATCCCGAACCGGGATGGAGAACTGGAACCAGACCACTTGGCCCTGGGGTTAGAGGCTCATTCGCTGAGCCGAGTTGTCTGCGCCCAGACCAAGCGGGGTGAGGAGAGGCGAGTTAAAGAGGAGCCCAGGACCAGGGGGTGCTGAGAGATGCCAAGATGGTGTCATTGTGCCCCCAAGCAGCCACACCTGTCTCATGTTGCTGTGCTGTTGGGGGCTGCTGGAGTGAAGCTTCTTCCCTCCCAGCCCTGCCAGGGAGAGTCAGTGAGCCCAGGCAAGGGTGCAGGAGAGAGCCAGAACCTGCCCCTGGTAGAGTCCTGGGCAGCAGCTATTTATTCGTCCTCACTGTGGCTAGTTTATGGGAGGCGCCTGACAGCCACCTCTCCAGAAATGCGGGTTGGGGCCAACTCATCAACACACCCCGAGTGCAAGCAGACGGTGGCAGCAGCACAGCCGCAGGAAGTCACACAAGGGTCACATGCCTGTACCCAGCTGCTCCTGCCAGCAGTCACTTGGGCTGAGATGAATCACGAGGGTCCAGTCTCCATCCTGAGGGGGCATGCAGGGCTGAGCCACTCTGTGGAAAGCAGAGAAGTGGCCAGCATTTCAGCAGAGGGGGTACCCCTCTCCCAGACCCTCCCTTCCCACCTCGGCAGGTACAGCGCCGTGCGAGACCTTCTAGCCGACTTGGAGCAGGAAACCAGGGCAGCCCTGAAGACTCTGTATGGCTTTTCAGAGGTCAAGTCTCGGAAGCGCCGGGAGGCAGAGTCCGGAGGTTTGGCCTGGGGGGGCTCCCGGCCCAAATTCCTCAACCTGGTGCCGCTGCTGCTCTTCAATCGGGAGGAGAGGGGCAAGGCCAGGGACTTTGTCACCGGACGGAAGCGGAAGGTGAGCGACAGCATCGTCCACAAGGCATCGGATGTCATGCAGGTGCACGCGTCCAAGCAGGTCGTGGGATTCCAGCTGGTGAGAACATGGTCTTCGGGGCTTGGGGCTGGGCTGGGCTGGGCTGGGCGGGGGGAGCCATCCAGAGAGGCTTCTCCTTGCCACTCGCCCCTCTTAGTAGAGAAACACCCCCACTAGGGAAAATGGGCTGCAAGCTACTGAAATGAAAGCCACTGGGGTGATCTCAAGCAGACAAACTTGTCTTAGAAGCAACCAGTCACTCAGGGAAGCCTCTGTTGTTTTTTTAATTTTATTTTAATATTGATCTTATTTTCATCCATCATTGTGCTCCCTTCAGGTGTAGTCCTGGAGTTCTCCCACCACCATAGTACCCGTGCACTGTCACCACAGTCCCTCTTTCTCTTCCTCTCCGCATTCTTTTGACCCCTCTTTCATCCCCTCCCTTGCTGATTGCCTCAAATCTAGGGTCAGTTTGCAAGTTTTGTGTTTTTCTTGACCTTTGTATGGTTTTCTATGTCCCACCTGGAAGTGAAACCATGTCATGTTTTTATTTTTCCTTCTGACTTATTTCACTGAGTATAATCCCTTCCAGCTCCATTCTTAGAGGCCTCTTTGAGGAAAGAAGTAAGGGAAAATCCAGGGATTGTGGTGGCAAGATGATGGAGTCATTCAGAACTGCTGCTGGGTTAAATAAGCTTCAGCTCTTTCCAGGTTTTCTGTTGACCCATTCATAAAGATGAATTTGGATTCCATTGTGGGGCTTTCTCATTCCATTGTGGGGCCAATCTTGGGTCCCTGGATGGCTCACAGAGAACGGTGCATCTTGCTGGATAGTTTCACCAGACTGTATCCACCGGGGCAGGGGGGGGGGGAATCCCAGCAAAGCAAAATTGGGGTGCAGACATCAGACAGGAGAAAATAGATTATCAACAGCAGACATATCCAATGTTCCCAATAGTATGTGCCTCAGTGAGGTGCCTAGAGCCCAACTCCTCATCTCTTTTTCTTGATCCCCTTTGAGGGACTCTGAGGAAGTGTCCACTCACTAGAAGTGAAGTCATTACCTTCCTGGGAAAGCTCAATCCACAGCCTCCCCAGCACATCCAACCACATCTGCAGGACAAGAACCACTTCTACACTTTCTACCTTCATTGCTGATTAGGAGAGCCTATGGCTCCAGTCACAAATTCTGGGGAAAAAATGGCTCTTTCTCTTGGCCCTGGAGACTTTTCAAAGTTTTCTTGGGTCCTTTCACAAGATAACCACAAGTTCTTCTTGACTCCAAAATCTTTGGTGTCTGCCTTTTAAAGTTTTCCAAGTCCTGTGTGATAAGAACATCAAAATTCACCACAGCTTCTCTACAGAGCTATTGTTATAATATGATAGGAGGTCAAGAAGAATGGCATTTTGTAGGTGAAACCATGAAATGGAATGTCTTATTCAAAGCCCTGCAGAGAAGCAGGACCAAGGTCTTGATCAGAATTCACTGACCCAGTGGGAAATGGTGAGGGTTGGGTGGGACTGCCATAGCAACAGTTAGTCAGAGCTGGTTGTCTGGGGACCTGACAAGCTGCTTTGCTTCTCACCTGGTGAGCAGTAGTGGGGGTTGTGAGCCTAGGATTCTTTAGCCTTCTTGCTGAGACCCTTCTTGCTCTTTGGCTTGACAGTGAGGTCTCCTAGTCCCCAGAAGTGAGAGAATGCCCATTTGACCGTAGATATCCTTCCTGGCCCCCTGAGTATCTGCTCTAGAGCCTCAGCTCCCCACCTGTACAGTCCTAAGGGCGATGGCAGAGCTGGTGGCTCAGTGCAGTGTGTCCTCTTTTCAGTGTCCAAACGATACCTCGGACTGTGCCCTCTACACCTTCAGCTCGGGGATCAATGCCATCCAGGAGTGGTACAAGCTGCATTACATGAACATCATGGCGCAGGTGCCTTTGGAGAAGAAAATCAACATGAGCTACTCTGCCGAGGAGCTGCTGGTCACCTGCTTCTTCGATGGGGTGTCCTGTGATGCCAGGTCAGGAGCAGGAGGCGCCTCTCTCAGGTCCCTGACCTGAGCACCTGACCTGAGACCCTGGCTCTGAGCACCACCCCTCACATGCCGCCCCTGCAGCTCAGGATAGGTCTTCGGACCTATCCTTTAGGAAAAGGTGTTCTTTTCCTAATGCTGCCCTTTGAGAAGCATCTGCACGGGAGCTAGGCTGTAGGGTCAGTGAGGAGAGGACAGAGTCGAAACATCCTTAAGCTCACAGAATTACTCTTAAGAGCAGCGTAGTTGATGGTGTACATACAGCCTTGGATATGACCATTCTGCCTCCGATGATGGAGAACGGCTGATCTGGTACAGGAGAAAGAAGAGAGGGAGGGAAAGGAGGCAAGAAGGAGGGAGAGGAGAAGAAAGACCCATATGGATGTTGAATGTGCAGGTCTTTCTACCTTTAATGCAACACTCAGACCCCCAGTGGTGACTGGAGAGCGATGGTGTCTGAAGAGCTTACTTCATTCCTTTTAAGTACTAAGCTTCTCTAACCTTTCTGTATGCTACTAAATATTGGACCTTGTGAAAGCTAAATGATGGGGGCAAATCTTGTGATTCTTTTTCTGGGGACCATTTCCTGGGGCTGGAAATCAGATTGGAAGCTGTCAAGTACTGGCTGCGAAGTTCAAGCGTAGAGGGGACAGATATATTGGCACGGGGAATGCCAGGTGCAAACAGAAACAGGTGAGAGGGCTAAAAGGAAGACCAGAAAGAGGGTCTGATTCTACATCAACATGTGCCAACCTGAACGAAGGGCCTTGTCTGCCACTTACCAGAGGAAAGATGGAGAAAGTAAGTCACATCTGTCATCCGTTGTCCAAGAAGAACCTGGGTACCGTTTGCACTGCCCATCCTGCCTTCAGTCTAGGGGCACGAGAGGAGTCTCAGCACAGACCTTTCTGATCTGCGTTCTTCCTCCATAGGAACTTCACGCTTTTCCACCATCCAATGTATGGGAATTGCTACACGTTCAATAACAGAGAAAACGAGACCATCCTCAGCACCTCCATGGGGGGCAGTGAATATGGTAAGGAAATCTGAGGGGAAATGGGGTTCCCTGAGCTGGAGCAGGACAACTGGGCATGCTTGAGCCTTCCAGAGTCCCAGGATCGCTTGCCTGGCCAGAGCCAGGGGTAGACTCCCCTTTTGCTGTGGTCCATGGTACCCATGTGGCTTCCTTCCCGCTGGGCGGTGTCTGTTTGCCCTTTGCTGCGTCCTCCTGACTGGATAGCACAGGTCATGGTTGGCTTCCTTCTCCTGGGAAGCCACTCTAGTTTGAGCTTTGTAGCTGAAGTGAGTAATGTTGGCCTTGGCTTCCAGATGGGTTAAACCCAGATAAGCTGAACTACCGATTAGGGTGGCAAGCACCTTTATCTTGGTGGAGATAACAGGTTCAGGACCAGCTCTACCACTCAGCGTGACCCTGTGCGCATTATTGCACTTCATCTATAAAGTGGGAATAACAATAGTACCTGATAGAAGGTTGTGGCAAATGATTTAAAATAGTAGAGCACTGAGAATAAGACCTGACACGCGCTATTAGTCGGCTTGGGTCTCCATAACAAAATAGCACAGGAGAATGGCTCACACCCCAGACACTGAACTTCTCACCATGCTGGAGGCTGGATGTCCATGATCAAGGTGTGGCGCAGTGAGTTTCTGGTGAGGCCACTCTTCCTGACTTGCAGTCAGTCAGCTTCTTTCCATGTCCTCACATAGCCTATCTTGTGTGGGAGAGAGAGAGATAGAGAAAGAGGGAGCATCACTCTGTGGCTTCTTTTCCACTTCTAACAAGTATACCAAGTCTGTGGGATTAGGAAAACCCCCTTTATAACCTCACTAAACCTTAATTACTCCTTAAAGACCCAATCTCCAAATACAGTCACATTGGCGGTGAAGGTTTCAACTTACGTATTTGGGGAGGGGAACATAACTGAGTCCATAACACACAAAATATACATATATAAGTATATATATATATATATATATATATAATAACACACAAAATATACATAAATAAGCATATACACACATTCTATATGACTCGTGTATATATAGTACATGCTACACATGTATGTAATATATACACACTAAACATACGTCCAAGTTGCAGTTATCTCAGCGAGCAATGCCGAGAGTCCACCATCACTACTGCTACTACCACCGCCAGTAATGCCATGGCTCCTTCAAATACTATGACTACTACGAAGGCTTTGTAGGGAAGCAGGGACTCCAGACTGGCCTAGCTAACCCACCAAAGGAATTTTTGAAAGGTCCCAGGTAAACTGAGCACAATTTAATCCACTCACAAGGAAAGTCAGGGCCTCCCATGGTGGAGGGCCACACTTGGCTCCTTGTCTTTGTCCTTGTGTAGCCTGTTCTTACCGAGTCTGCAAGAAACCATAATTCAGGGCACAGACTTTCTTGGAAGAACTCGTCTGGCAACTGGGAGCAAAGAGTTGCACCGTCCTGGTTCTGCTGTCTGAGCAGTGTGACCTTGAACATGGGAGAGGAGGTCACACTCCAGAAACAGACCAGTGCACTGGAGCCTATTGGGAGGGGGGGCGGAGAGTGAAGCGAGGAGGGAGGGTACAGATGGGCTCTGGGTGGCACAGCAGTCAGCTGGGTGGATTTTATTCCATGGCACCCCACGCACCCAATGGATGCCACCAAAGGGTGTCAGAAGGGAGTGACATCATCTGATCTTGGATTTCCAAGGTAGACCATGGGGACAAGAACCAGAACAGGGGGAGACGTTAGACCAGTGATCAGCACCCCATGGGTGCTTCGTCTTTCCCTGAGGGCTCAGCCAGCATCAGTGCTGCGAGTCCTTTTGGATGCTCCCTAGAAAAACTCCCCCTCTCAAAGCACCACGTGGAGAAATGTGTCTCAGGCAGCGTGGCCATTCCTTATGCTTGGCAGAGCTGGCGTCGGTTGAGCCCAGTCTCAGGGACCTGTCAGTGGGCTAGTCAGGCGTAACTTCCATCATGGAGTTTCATGTGTACCCCTTGTCCACTTTTCACTTGTTGGAAATGTCCTGAGGTTTGCAGAGCTGCCGGAGAGGTAGGCTACCCCCAGGAAATATTTTCTTAAGCCTTTGCCCACAGCAGGCTGCCTTGTCCTCACAGGGCTGCAGGTCATCTTGTACATAAATGAAGAGGAGTATAACCCCTTCCTGGTGTCGTCCACTGGAGCAAAGGTGATCGTCCATCGGCAGGATGAATATCCCTTCATCGAGGACGTGGGAACAGAGGTTGAGACGGCGATGGCCACTTCCATTGGCATGCACCTGGTAAGAGGATAGTGTCATCTCTGTAGGTGTGGTGAGGAGGACTCGTGTGTTCAAGGATAACCAGTCTGGTGCAGCTCATGGAAAACAGTGTTGGTTCAAAAAGTATCTCCAGTGGTCACTCTAGGGCCTCTGTGCCTTCTGTATGGATGAGCTAGGGCAGGATGCCATAGGGAATGGAATTCAGGGAATACTCCTTGCTAGAGCCTAGAAGAAACCTGTGCAGGCATGTGACTATTAAATGTCAGTACTGTAAATAGAGCAGACTAACACCTTCTTCCTGGGCCACCCAAAAGCCTCTGGGACATGCAGTCCACAATTTAGAGGCTAATGGATTCACCAGCCATCAAAGCTCTAGTGAACCCATCACTCTCCCATTGGATTCACCTCATTTTACAACAAATCTCTTGTGCCTCGTCTTTGACCTTCTCTGACCTTATTGGGTGCTGAGAACCATCAGACCTGTCAGTGGGAGCACATCTGAGCTGCAGACTCCAACCCCTGGGTCAGCCAGGCCCAGTGGGCATAGAGGGCAGGGTGAGGCATGAGTTCTGATACCCCTGGTTGCTCCACCGCAGTTCTGTGGTTTGTAGGTCTGGGGTCAAGAACTTATAAGAGAGACTCTGTGCACAAAACATTAAAGCCAAACCATACTAAGAAGCATACCGGGCTCATGCATCTTCTTTCCATCCCCGGCCTCCATCTTCTCTGCCCTCTGTCCCTGTCAATTCGTGTCTTGGCAGGGTGTCAGTCTTCTAGAGACATAAGCCTTTCTCCTTTGGTGCAAAAATAAAATGCTCTTCTGCCCATTTTTTGCTCCATCTATAACTGGGAAATAGTTCCTTATCAATACACATAGATTTACCTCATTTTCTTAACTCATGGAAAATGTCATCAACTATCCATTGTGCAGATAAGTTATGGATTAAATTCCCTGTCGATAGGCATGAAGTCATCTCCAGGCATGACTAAAAGCCACAGTGCAATGTGACTGCCGCCTAGGAGGTCAAACAGTGTTTATCATTGATAAAATGCCCTCCGTGAGGAGGTAAACACATACGGCCTCACTAGCACTGCACGAGAGTAGTTGTTCCCCACACCCTCACCAATGCAGGTATCACCCAACTTTTAATCTTTGCTGATCTCCAAATGAAAAATAGTGCCTGCTATAGATTAAATTACCAGTCATGCTTAGCGGCATTTTCCCACCTGCTTGTAAGGGGCAAGAATCTCCCACTATTGTCTGGGCACTGTTTTGTCCAAAATTAATGTCCCACATTTAGTGTTACGGCCTTCTTCCTTATAAATGTGAACTCTGATTGATGATCAGATCAGACCCACTAAATCAGAATCGCTGAGAGATGAGCCCAAGGATCAGGGCTTTTGCCTGACTCCAGTGGATATTCAAGAGATAGCAAGCTCAGAGACCTCTGCTTTTGAACTTGAATCTGAATGAGAGGACAAGGTATGACTTTCAAGTGAAAGTGAAGCTTAGAGGACACAAAAGGGCTAGCACCGCTGGAGGATGGCTGCATGTTGAGCTACTAAGCGAACACTGAGCACTGCACAGCCACCCACATTCAGTCAGTGTTTCCAGTATGCTAGACATGAGGGTGACATCCACATGGAAGACACCATCCCTGCCCTGTTGGAACCTAAAGTCCAACAGAGAAGGTAACAAAAAAATTACAAAGGTTCATTCTAATTGCTGTAAGTGCTGAGGAAGAGAAATGTAGGGTGCACAGAACATACCCCGGGGTGTCTGTCCTAGGGATTTTTTTTAATGGGGGATGAGAGGAGTTCAAGAAAAGCTTTCCTGGGGAAGTGATATTTAAGTTGAGACTGCAGAGATGAGGAACTAGAATGATAGTGCTTCAGAGGAAATCTGTGGCTTCAGTGCCTCGTGGTTGCCCAGCAAAGGCAGCCCTGGGTAGGTCAACCCACCAGGATGGTTGTCTGGGAGCCCAGGTATCCCCTGAAGGCTTGCTGCTTAAGGGCTTTGTTCCAATGTTGGGAGTTTGTTCCAAAATGAGAAGCATTGTGTGCCAATTTGGGCTGTGTGGGTGCTGATTTCCGAAGAAAAAAAACTAATGCCCAACCTGTCCAAGCCATAGCTTGAAAAGACTTTGGGGCCTCACTGAAGGAGCTGGGTCATGGATTCCTCAGCTGGTTGCAAAACTGCCAGATTAGAAGAGTGAACATTTTGATCCAGCGTTTCCCATGTGGTTTTACGTGCATCCTGAAGAAGTATCTGGAATCTGTAGCACGTTCTTACCATAGCTTTTTGCCCCGTCTTTCCTTTTCCCTCCCACAGTGTCTACAAACTTGGATGAGTTATAAGCTGGGAGAAGTACAAAAACTAAAAAATTCTACCCTCTGATTTTCTTCTCTGACTTAAAAATACCCATCACATTGTTAAGCAAATATTTTCTTTCCAAATGACGAATAAACAAAGACATGGGTGGGTTTTCTGCTACACCTAATTTGAGATGTACAAAATTAAAGCCACAGAACAGGGTCGGTCAGCTCCAGTTTTGATTTATGAGCATTCAGAACAACAAAAAAACAGGGATTACTAAGAGGTCAGCAGGGGGTCACTAAGAATAAGTCCAAACAAACTAGACTTCCTTCCTTTCTTATTTATTTATATATTTTTGATTGGAGCATTAAGTTGGTAACTTAGTTCATTGGGTAGGCAGTTTGATTCACAAATCTTTCTTCATTCACTGAGGAACATTTTGTGTCCAACGCTTAGGGCATTCTGGGATGAATACAATACAGCACCTACCTGCAAAGATCTTACTAGTAAAAAGAAGATAATACACTTTTGCAATATAGTTCCCAGCTCTGTGAGGTCAGAGACCTGCTCCCTCTTGTCCCCAGGCTTAGTTCTTAGAGCATAGTAGATATTCAACGAATTGTTGGATAGACAGGAGTATGAGTGTGTGGGCCAGACAGAAGCTGTTAGAGGTTTTCTACATGACGGGTGGCTGAAGGGCAAGTGTCACAAACAAATAATATCAGAAAGAACCAGTCCTGCAAGGGTGACAAAGGGACCACAAAAAAGATTCGAAGCCATGTAGAGAAACTTTTTGAAAAACCACGTTGGTTGACATGTAATCAGCATACAGGATGGAGCACATTCAGAGTAATTCTAGAAGGAAATGATGAAGACCCGGGCTAAGGCAGAGACTCTAGGGCTGGACACAGTGGACACAGTGACTGGACACAGTGACTACTCTGAGACAGACTACAGGATGCAAGCAACAGGCTTGACAACTGAGGTCGGTGAGGATGGGCCAGGGAAGTTGGGTTGATACTTAGGTTCTGGCTTAGGCAGTAGATGGAAGTCCAGGCTCACAACGAGGGAGTACAAGAGAAGAGGAAAGTTTGGGGCAGAAGATGATCGCTTCAATTTAAGACATACCCAAGTTGCTGTGGCTTTGGGAAACCCAGGTAAAAATGTCCCGTAAGTAGAACCTATGAACTTGGAGCTCAGAAGAAAATCATGTTGGCAGGTGGCTGGAAATCCTGGACTTGGAAATGCCATCACCCAAGACATAATGCAGTATTCTAGGACTGAGTAGAAAGAAAATGGAACTATAGAGTCAGCGATAAAGGAGCAGAAACCGGAAAGTGAAAATTAAGTCAAGAGAGTCCGAGGAAGGTGTGAGCCCAGTGCAGCTGGGAGGTCAAGAAGATAAAGCATGAAAGGTGTTCTTGGGTTTGGCGGCCACGAGGTCGCTGGCATTCTTTGCCAGAGTAGTTTTCAGTGGGAGAAGCGGAACAGAAACCAAAGTACAATGGGCTGGATCATGAATGGGAGAGAGGAAGTGGGCAAGAGTGGACAACTCCCTGGGGAGGCGGGGTGGTGGGGGTGAGAGAGCCAGGCCCGGAGAGGACTGGGCATGGTCAGTCCTCACATGCGCGAGACACAGATTAAGTGTGGAGGCTCCGGAGCCAGACGAAGGATTCAAACCCCCATTTTGCACTTTGTATCCTCTGTTATTGCTGTAAAATGGGGATAATGATCTCACATGTGTGAGGCACATGTCCCAAAATACTGGCTGTTGCAATACATTTTTAAAGAAAAGAGATGCAAAGAGAAGGCAAACTGGATCTGAAGCAAAAGGAGCAGCCCGCAGGGTGTTTTCCGTGACACCCTCCGCTTTGAGCCTTTCTGTTTACTGAGAGGAGTCGGGGAGTCATGGCCATTTACAAACGTCTTCCCAGATCATGGGTCCCCTTTCATTTTCTTTATGCTATTTCATATGCAAAAACAGGCTATGTTTATGTAGTCAAATCTTTGTTTTCTTCTTTAGTCATTATGTTTATTGAGGATTTCCCCTCCCTCAGATCAAATATGAGCTGGGTTTTCTTTCAGTTGTTTTATCATTTCAAACTTTCACGTGCTAGATTTTTTGCCTGCGGATTGTGAAGTAGAGGTAGAATTTATTGCTTCCTCCAAGTGTTAAGAAATGTAAACTATTAACTGTGTTACATAGTTCTACGTTCACATATGGAGTCATTCTTTTTCTCTTCATTGATTAGAAGCATACACTTTCTCTTACATAATAATTTGTTGTAATTATTACAGCATAAAAAGAGAACAAAAGAGAAAAAAAAAAGAGCTAAACCATGCATGACACCATCTAGGCCTTGTCTTGCCTTCTGACATTTTCCCTGGGGACAGTTCATTCCTTCCCTCCCAGTGCAACGTCCCTCTTCCCCACACACATGCACACACACGCACATGTAAGCACGTATGCACACCCAGGCACCCTCACAGTCACATGCACATTCTCGGTTTTGTGCTCTTAGAAAGGAGGGCAGAAGCTGAAATGGTTCCCACCCTCCATAGCTGAGCAGTCTGGAAAGCTTCCAGGATGGGGTGGGGGGTGGGGAGAAAAACAGGGGGAGAGAGGAGGGAGGCAGAGAGGGAAGAAAGGTGATCGAGAGAGCTGTCCAGTTCGCCCAGCTGAGACTGACAAGCCACAGACTTTTATCCCCCTCAACAAAGGTCATCTGTGTCCCCTGCCCTACCCACAGCTGCTCAGGAAGTAACCTGCAGAACCCAGAAGCTCTGATTTCGATAAGTATCGTTACAGAGTGAAGGGCCATTGAACACTCAAAAAGCATAAAAAGCAAAACAGTTTCTCACAGTCAGTTTCCTGGAAATGACCGGGAAAGCGAAGCAGGAGCCCAGCCACCTCTGCCAGCAGCGCATGGCCAGCCCCGCCCACCTACATGCCGGGGCAGATGGAGCCCCAGCAGCTACCTAGGCTTGGAGACAGCTCAGGCAGACCTGGGGACCCCAAGGAGCCCCGTGAGCCTGCTGCGTGGAATAGCTTACAGGTGGCAATGGGCTGGGTGCCCTCGAGGGAACCGCTCAGACTCTCTGTGCCTCGATGCCCAGCCCAGCCCTGGCGTGTGACCTAGAGACTAAATCTGTTTGCTACCCAGCTATTAGAGGGACGGAACCTGTTTATTCTGTGCAACATGGCTCGCTCCATTGTTCATGGAGAGAGCAGCTTGCAAGGCAAGGTGAGAGTGTCCGTCTGTCTGAGATGTGGCAGGTGACTTGCTCTAGGCGGGGGCCCTCTCTCGAAGAGAGGGGGACACCTGCCCACTGCTTTCCCCTTGTTTGCTTCTGCTGTTTAAATATTTTTAAATAAACGCCCGTCAATTACCTGCAGGTCCTTGCAGGTAATTGAGGGAGGCTAATGGGTCAGCAGATGAATTACAGTATAAACAGAGAGGGATTACAGCCACTTGACATGTCTGCAGTTTCTCCCTGTGTGGAAATTCTTGACACCTTTCTTGCTCCCAACCGACTTTCTCAGCTGCTCTTCCAAGAAAAGAGACTTTCCTTCCCTTTCACAAGCGTGCCAAGCATTCCCCCTTTACCCGCACACTCAGAGCAGAGCAAAACTGCGGCCCCCTCGCCTGGAGCCTCGCTATAAGCTGGTCTTGATTTAATACTTTACCTGTCATCACCCCACCTCCCTGCTCCTTCCGTGTTCTTTTTTGGCTTGTTTATTCGCAGTGACAAGTAGTCAGAGCCAAATTTAGTACGCCACATTGAAAGGTTTTGAACTGTGAGTTGTGGTGGCCCTACGGCCTATGACCTGGGCTTCCTGCTGCCCACTGGGCATTCCGTGGCCCTCGCTGAGAAAGTCAGTGTTGTCCAAGTCAGCGTCTGGGACAGGAGATAAGCGGATCCCAACAGGGACAAGCCCTCCAGAGCTCACAGTCACTGCCCGACTCCCAACCCTCCTGTGTCCTCCTGGGGACACCCTGGGCCTCCGCCATTCTGAGTGCAAATCCATGCTTCTCAGCACAGCATAGGACACCCACTTGATCTTACCTTGATTTTCCTCGTCAACTTCATCACTACTGACCTCTCTCCTTTTTGCCTGTGTCCAGCCACCCTGACCCTCTCCTGCTGCTCTCTCTGCTCCGGTCACTTCTACCATTTATTTGGCAACGTCAGCCCTTTCTGGCCATTTCATGTTAAACCTCCATGTCCCTTTCTCAGATAGCTCTCTCTCAACCATGCTCCTGAAAAGTCTCCCCTCCACCCACCCCTCCAACCTCTCCATCCAGTTTCTTATTGATTGATTGATTTGCTGGTCCCCCACTGGAATGGAAGCTCCACACGAGCAGGAACTTGTCAATTTTGATCACTGTTGATGCTGTTGTAGCTCAATCAGGCACCTCGTAGTGCTCACTAAATATCTATGAATGATTGACCAGATGAGTGGGGTTCACGACTCCTCCAGGGGCTGCTGGCTGGAGGAGGGAGGCTGAGCTTGTGCTGCTTTGATTGCAGACAGAGTCCTTCAAGCTGAGCGAGCCATACAGCCACTGCACGGAGGACGGGAGTGATGTGCCCATCAAGAACATCTACAAGGCTGCCTACTCCCTACAGGTATGTTCAGAGGGGGCAGGCCTGTGGCCTGGTCCCAGAAGACCAAGTTATATATGTGGCAGGGGTGTGTCTGAGACCAGGAACTCAGTGAGAATCCTTGGGGTTCGTCCAAAGACCTCAAGAACAGATATGCCAGCTGGTTCCAGTCCTCTTCACTCTGTCTGTAACCAGAGCTTAATTGATTCATTGAGGTTTGTGTGGAACACAATGTACAGCTGAGACAGGCCTGTTTTCTAAGTGGGGCTTGGTGAGTGAGGGACAGGACTGGAGCCGTCTGGGAGAGGTGTTGTTTTTGAAGTCAAGTGGCCTCCCCTTCCCCCATCCCCCGCTTTCTCCCTCGCTGATGGCTGGATGGTATTAATATGTCAGGGAATTGCATAAGAAAACTCAGATTTCCAGCTTCTCTTTAGAAAGGAAAGGTGACTGTGTTATGCCCATGTTCCTGGAGGATAAATGGCGGTGGAGTTGACCCTGCTTGCAAGGTGGATCTCCATGGTCCCTACTATTCCCCAGTAGACTAGCCGCCTCCCTGGTTCCAGTCAACATTTAATTTTTCACTTTTGCATGCAGTCTTCTTGTCCCAAATTCTGGGAGTCTGCAGTCACCCTCCTCCCAGGAAGCCCAGCATCAATGCAAGTCAAGGCAGTTGAGCAAAAGGACCAGGCTCACCTCCACTGAGTCTTCGCGCTTACTCAGAGCTGAGAGGTGATGGAGATACTGAGTGGAAAGAGACATTCGTCAGAGAATGTCTACTTGTACGAAATAGAAATAGAATAAAATTGGCTTCTAAAAAAAGTCAACTCATAGAAGACTTTTGGATATTTAATGAGAAGTTACTGGGTACAAACACTTTACATACTTTCTCTGTTCACAACAACCTCAGGAAATAGGTATTAGCATACTAATTTCAAAGAAGCCACAGTATCAGAGAGGTTAAGAAACTTGCCTGAGGTCACACAGCTGGAAGTAGAAAAGCTGGGATTTGAACTCAAGCAGCCAGAATTAAGAGTTCCTGCTATGGGTCCTCCCTGGTGGCGCAGCAGGTTAAAGCACTGCACTAAGACGCTAAAGCCACTTCAGCATGAGTTCGATCCCCATCTGTCCCGGAGCTGACCCACATGGCGCAGCAGACTCTCCTGTCCCGCCCGCTGCTCCCCTCAACAGTGTACTTCATCATTCTGCCTGTTCTGCTCCCCACTCTGCCTCTGGTGAAGCCTCTCACTGCCCCTGCACCTCTGGCCTGTACCCCAGTTCTGTATGCACAAATAAATAAATATTAAAAAAAGCTTTTGTGCTGTAAGCTCTAGGCATCTTGTAGCAGCTTATGGTCCCCAAGGACCCAGTGCATGTGACATGAATCTGAGAATGGGAAAGTTGGGAACTGTTTCTTGTGTCTCCTTCAGGTCTCCCAGCTCCACTTGGTCTCCACATCTCAGTCTAAATTCTCAGTAAATGTTCTAGTTTGGTCCCTTTGGGGTGATGGACCACTCCTGGCCTTGTTGGATATGACATAATAGTCAGGTTTGTGTGTCCATCAAGGGAGGCTGACCTCCCTTCTTGCCAATGGTGTGCAGGGGGAGTTCTCTGGTTCCCATATGCAAAGCGATTCCTTGGTCTCCTCTTCCAGATCTGCCTTCACTCATGCTTCCAGACAAAGATGGTGGAGAAATGTGGGTGTGCCCAATATAGCCAGCCTCTGCCTCCTGCGGCCAACTATTGCAATTACCAACAGCACCCCAACTGGAGTGAGTAAAACCCATCCCTGGCCTTGCACACCTCTGGAGCCAAGGGCTCTTTGTCTCCTGCCAACTATGGCCTTTGACCCGAGAGAGGTATTGGTAGAGATTAGAAAGAGTTTTACTCCTGTTGTCAAGCCTGGCTGGAATCATAATGCCCAGTTAAGGATCAAATGCTACACTCCAGCCTGTGCTAAGTGCTTGATCACACCAGTCAACTCCAGGAGGTAGGAAGAATGGCTGGGACCCTTTCACAGAACAGCTAACCACAGCTCAGAAAGTCTCAGCAACTTGCCCAGGGTCACACAGCCAGGGAGTAGCAGGGCCAGCCCCAAACCAAGGGCTGTGTCCCTACCTCACCCCACACCTCCACCGTATTCTGTCTCCTGACATCTTAAGGCAGCATTTGTTTCCAAAGGACTATTATTTGTAGAAAGTGGGAGAAGAAATTTAAAGACTGAGGAGGGGGCATCCCTGGTGACCCCCAGGCCAGGCCCCATGGCCCTGAAGCTCACACTTCCCTCACTTTGCCCCTCAGTGTACTGCTACTACCAGTTGCACCAGGCCTTTGTCCGGGAAGAACTGGGATGCCAGTCCGTGTGCCGTGAGGCCTGCAGGTGAGCGGGTGGGAGGGATGTGACCAGCAGGACCAGGCTGGGCCAGGGCCAGCCACCTGTGCTCACTCTGTGCCCTTTTCCCTCTAGCTTTAAGGAGTGGACACTGACCACCAGCCTGGCACAGTGGCCATCTGCAGTTTCTGAGGTACGTTGTTTGGCCCACTCTTCACCTGAGCCTACAGCCTGGAGCCTTGTTGATATCCTGGCTGTGTTGTCTGGCCCCAAGGTGATCCACGGGGGAGGCCCAGGTCAAGGGCTGGGGCAGGTGGAGGAGGGCAGATGGCTGGCCCTGGCCTCTTTGCACATCCTCAGGCCATGCGTCTTTCTCCATCACAGAAATGGCTGCTGTCTGTTCTTACCTGGGACCAAGGCCAACAAATAAAGAAAAAGCTCAACAAGTAAGAAGACCCCTGCCCTATGGGCCCAGGGCCCCCAGCCCTGTGCTAGCCTCCTCATTGCCATGCCCTCTCTTTTTCATTCACTCATTTCTTTATTCAGCAAATATTTATTGACCTCGTATTATGAGTCAGATGCTGCTTGAGGCCTGGGGCTCCCATACCTTGACCATGACCCAGAGCATGGAAATACCTTCCCCACTGGGGCCTAGTGAACACATAGGTGAACTGCAGCGCCCTTGCTGACCAAGCACGGTGCACTCTGGAGTCCGCTCTCCAGCCTCTGTACAGTGGGCTCACCAAACCATCTGCTCTCATTCACGCCAACCGCTCACACCCACACCCTGGTCAATTTGTGTCCACGTCAGTTGTTAAAAATTCTGAATAGCTCTATGAAGACAATCTGATCATTTCTATTCTACTTCTGTTTGTAGAATATACTGCTCAGGGCTTCATCGGTTTCATTTATTCATTCACTCATGGCTTCCTGATGACCCACTTGGAAATTATTCCTCTGAACTTTGAAGCTTCTAGTCACACTTGAATTTTTAACATAGAAATCCAATCCCAAGGGAATTTTTTAAGCAAAAATCAGCCAAGTCAGAGATCAGGGACCTCAGAAGAGACAAAGGTGGGAGAGGACAGTGAACTAGCCATAGGAACTCAGCCCCTGGCCATCCCTCTGGTTACAGTCCCAGCCCTGGCCTGGCCTCCAACGTAGACTGAGTAGCCACAGAGTAAAGGGGAGGGAGAGGGAGGGGAACCCAGCGTAGTCCCTGCCTCCAAGGTGTGTGCAGTCCAGTAATAAATTTTAAGCGAGCAGTTACAAACGATTAAACCAGTATTGCAAACTAGTGACTAGACCAAAAGTAGCCCATTGTCTCTTAACTTTTCCCAAAAGAGCGAAAGTTCTGACAGCAGCAGATCTCTATTCTTGCCCAGTGTACTAAACAAGGACCAAGAGCTACCCGAGGGATACATGTGACTTTTGCAACTTGCCACACTTCTACCAGGAAGCAACTCCTGGTTAAGAGCATGGACTCTGGAGCCAGCTCTAGCTAGGTTTGAGTAGCGGTTCTGCCCATATGGGCTGTGTCACCTTAGTCAAGTTACATAACTGATGCATGGGGATGAGTAAAGCATCCCTACCTCATGGGGTTGTGGGAATGACATGAGTGAATTCACGTAAGGTTCTTGAACACTGTTTGACAATGCAGGACGTGTCCGAGAAGTGCTGGCAGCTATTATGGTTATTAATTATTTACATTATACCCAGCCGACCTTGTTCATTTACATTGCCTGTCTCCTGTACTTACTTGAGATCACAATCAAATAATCACACATCAAGGTTTAATGAAGAATGGGATGCATGGGAGGAAAGCTAGGTGGTCTGACATGGTCTGGAGTTTGCTAAGTGGTTTTTGAGGAAATGAATGGCCTGAACAGCCAGGCCCAGGCTAGAGGTGTACTCTGGAGCACAGAAAGAACCCCCCAGACTAGATTCCGAGGACTTGTGGAGCTTAAAGGCTGGACTGCGCTGGGGGTGGGCAAGAGGGAGACAGTCATGCTGAAGGGCTGCCCCTGACTCACCTGCCCCTCTTCTTGGAATTCTGCAGAACAGACTTGGCCAAACTCTTGATATTCTACAAAGACCTGAACCAGAGATCCATCATGGAGAGCCCTGCCAACAGCGTGAGTGGCTTCCGTCTGGTGCCTATGCTGGGTCTGTGAATATGCACATCTGCCTGGCCTAGGGGAGCAGAGTCAGGTTCTGGGGGTGAGCCTGGGTTAGTAGAGCTGCCATAGGCCAGAGCGGGTGGCATCAGGCGGGCCACAGAACCTGTCCGCTTCTTCCTCCAAACCTAGCTGCTGACTCCCTTGGGAACTGGGGTCCCTGGCTGAGGTCACCCTGGACCAGTATCCCTCTTGATGGTGTGGCCTTGGCCTCCCTTGCAGATTGAGATGCTTCTGTCCAACTTCGGTGGTCAGCTGGGGCTGTGGATGAGCTGCTCCGTCGTCTGCGTCATTGAAATCATTGAGGTCTTCTTCATAGACTCCCTCTCTATCATTGCCCGCCGCCAGTGGCAGAAAGCCAAGGAGTGGTGGGCCCGGAGGCAGGGGCCTTCTGGCCCAGAGGCTCCCCCCGATCCCCAAGGCCAGGACAACCAGGCCCTGGATCTTGACGATGATCTGCCCACTTTCACCTCTGCTTTGCGCCTGCCTCCAGCACCAGGGGCCCAGGTGCCCGGCACACCACCCCCCAGATATAACACCTTACGCTTGGAGAGGGCCTTCTCCAACCAACTCACAGACACCCAGGTGCCAGCCGAATCCTGAGGCAAATGGAGAAAAGAAATCTCGTCGGGATCCCCAGCCACGGGCTGAGAACTTAGACCCTGTCTCCTGGACTCAGAGGGACCTTTGCAGCCTCTCTGGGCTCTTCAGAGATAGTGACAAAGTCAGCTTAGACAACAGGAGGGTGCCTGGTGTTGGGGGTTCCCAGACGACCCCGCCCAGCAACACTCACAGCCATCCAAGAAGAGATAGCCCCTGTGGCCCCAAACCCTTAGCTCACCTGCTATGGAGAGAGCTGGGGGCCAGGAAACAGTACCAGCCCGGACAGGCCAGAGTAAAGCCTGACGGGGTTCTTCGCCAGGATTTGAGAGAGCGAGAGACTCCTCCAGAGCTGTGAGCCAGGGGTTTCAGTTAGTCCCCCAGCCTGGGCTACCGCCCAAGGATGTGACTTAGGTATCAAGGCAGGAAAACAAGGCCTGGTGCCAAAGGTAAGAGGTAGTGGCAGCCCTGGAGCTGTTTGTGAATCAGCTGTTTTTAGTCATTGACCTTGGGGTGAGATCTCTGCGCCCTCATGCAGGGAGCTGGCCCCGAGGCCCCTGGAGTATGCAGGGGAGGGCTGCAGTGGCCACAGGCCTGTGGCTGGGCCTCACTCTGGAGGAGTGGGTGGGCCGTGTCCTGATGAGCTGAGCCTAGACCCTTTACCCAAGCAGAGAAGGCAAATTAAAGAGCATTGCTGGGCACCCTCCCGATGGTAGTCCCAAGACACGTAGGATTGTCTCCCGTAACCCACCTCGCTGCTCTTCCTCTACGCAGCCCACAGTGAATGGCCTACCCTAACCCACCAGCTACCTTCCACAGACACCCAGCCATGTTCGTGCCATTGTCGAACTCCGATTTAACAGCTAATGTGTGCTAAGTACGTGGTGGGTTTTCAATGTCAGCGCAAGAGCAGTTTGCTGATCCTGCCCTAAGAACTTCCAGGTTAGCAAGCCAGGGAATTACAAAGTAGGACCTGACCCACAGGCCAAATCCCATTTTTTAATCCATGACCTAAGAATGTTTTTTCCCTATTTTTAAGTGGTTTAAACTCTCAAAAGAAGACTATTTTGTAACTCATGAAAACTGTATGATATTAAAATTCCAGGGACCATAAATAAAGTGTTATAGGAACACAGTCATGCCTGTTCACTGACATTTTGCCCATGACGGCATTGGCACTCCGACAGCTCAGTTAAGCGCTTACAAGAAACTCTTTGGCCTACAAAGCATCCAATATCTATTCTCTACTCCCTTACAGAAAAAAATCTGCCAACGCTGATTTACCATGTGAAGTGGGCTCCATGCAAGCCCCACTTACAGGGAAACATCCATTTTATGGTTGGCAAAAAGGAGGCATAAAAAAGTCAATTTCTCCTTGGAAGTCACAGATTAGGAGCCAGCTGCCCACAGGGTGACCCTGGAGCCTGTATACTTCACCACCCCATGTGCCTCCAGTCAGGACCTGTGCCTTTCAGGGTGAGGCTGATGTCTGTTTGGCCGGCAAGAGGGGCCGGCTTCACACTTGGCTGAGGGGCAAGCAGGCAGGCCTGCAGTTCAGGGCTGTTTCTGGCATAAGGATGCCACTAGGAGAAAGACATCTTGGTGAAAGAGCAGGGCTGCAGGACCCTGCCTGCATCCAGGGATGCTTGGGCCCACCCTAGCCAGGACAGGACTACGGTGGTTATCTCTGCGCCAATGGTGCCTTCCGCCATATGAAAGGGGGTGGGGTGGGGCCCTGCCATGAGGGAAGGAAGGCAGCAGGGAGGAGGTCACTGTGACCTGAGGCTGGTTGGAGTGGACCGAGAAGCCAGGCTGATGCAGGCAAGCGTCAGGTTACACAGGGCGCGAGCTTGGCTCCTGTCCACACTGGGCCCGGGTGGCTGCAGCCAGCCCTGACAGGGAACTTGCAGTAGATGCCTGCCTGAGCGTTGTCCAAGAGGTGCTTCCTCCTCCTCCCCTGGCAGGAAGGTGGAGGCCAGGCCCTCAGATTCGTGGAATTGACCAGTGTCTGCGTGATGTCACAGGCAGGAACATTTCCAGGGAGACGAGGCTGCTGTTGACTTTGTCAAAGACGAGGCCATGAGCATCTGGAGCCAATAGCACCATCTCTCCCCCCATGCCAGCTCCCCCGTGGTTCAAGTGCACCCCCTGACACCCCTCTTCTTAGCTTGTGCATCTGTAGTGCCATGTGCTGCTCCCTCTTCTTCCACTCACCCTTGCAAGCCAGGTACAAATGCCACCACCTCTGTGAAGTCTTCCCGGCTCCTTCCCTTGCCCCTAGAAGTTGGAGCTTCTACCCTGATAAATTTTCAGCCCTACTTGTCCATCTCTCTGATTCCATGGTCAGCTCTTGAGGGCAGGACTGTGTCTTGTCTCTTTGCGCCTAGTCTGGGACAAGACTCAGCCCCAACCTTCCTCAACTTACAATTGGTGTTAGGTCCTGATGAACCCACGGAAGCTGGAAATACTGTAAGTTGAAAATGCAATTAATGTACCTTACCCAGTGATCGTTTCAGCTCAGTGGCCTCCAATGAAGTGCTCAGAACACATACGTTGTTTTATAGTTGAACAAACTTGTCTAACACAGACTTATTTTGCAACACAGCAGTGACGAGTCATGCGGTTTACACACATAGCTCTAAAAACGCAAAGCTGTCCACAGAGGATCATTTATTCATCCTCCTGGCACCTCACTTGGCTGATGGGCATTGCTGCCCCTGCCCACTATCACAGGACCCTACAACTATCCTGGGGTCGGGGCAAAAGTCGACCTTCAGAATCCCAGGTAGAGTCTCTACGCATTTCTGATCACTTTTACACCATTTATTGTAAAGTCCAAATATCTGTAAGTTGAACCATCACATGTCAGAGCTGTCTGTACAGCGATGGCATCTAAGAAAAGTTTATGGAGCAAATAAACACGATAATAATCATGAAACAACTCCTATTCATTAAGCACCGACTCTCCGCCAGGAGCCCTCTAAGCCCTTCACGCGTCCGAGCTCTTGTAATTCTCACTGCTCAAGGACTCTTGAGGCTCCCTTCTCCTGAACTCTCCCAGAGGACCCGGGAAGGGTCCTCAGGCCTCCCCAGCATCAGGCCCGGGGTGGTAGAAGGCAGGGGGGAGCACTTTGTTTCCTGGCCCCTTGGGTAAGCAGCCACCATGACCAGGAACTATTGACTTCAAGGGACAACCACCCTGAGAGTGGGTCATGGGAATCTTCCAGATGCTTCCTGGTCCTTTTCCTGCCATCAGCACTGCTGCCCTCCCGGCTCCCATATGGCAGCTGAATGTCAGATGCAATGTCCCACTGTCTGCAGAACATCTCTGACCACAGGGCCACCTCCAACTCAACCTGCACCAAGAAGAGCTCCCCAGAAAGGCTCCAACCTGTCTGGGAGAAAGGCCTGGAGGGGGGGGGGCTGCAGAGGCACCTGGCAATCTCGGGGGTGTGATCAGGTCAAAGAGAGGAGAGTGAAGGATGGAGAGCTGGGACCTCTGGGCTATGGAGCAGCTGCAGCATGAGGCGCCTGGAAGAGGCGGGGCGGCACTAGCCCCCGTCCTTCCCGCGGGTCTCCGCATCCCACCCGCACCCCTGCTCTCACCCCTGCTCCGCACCCCTGCTCTCCTACCTCCCACCCCTAAGTGAGACGAGGCGGCGGGATGTCTCCAAAGGGCAGGCTGCGCTGGCACTTCCTGTGGCTCCCCATCACCTGCTACCTTTCCCACGCCACAGGGCTCACCCTCCATGGTCACCCGGGGGAGCATCTAAGTCCAGGCATCACCAGCTCCACAGCGTCTGTCTTGCCCCCCACTCTGGTGCCCCCACAAATTGGCACATGGAGCATGGTGTCTTCAGCTGACAGAACGAGAAAACCACCCCCCTCAGGGTGCCAAGTCCCATGTGGTGCTCACGTGTCTCCTTTCTAACAGAGTTGCCCCCCAGCCCTGGGCTGCCCGACACTAAGCCCGGACTAATGCATCGCTGTGGTCCTACCGTCTTGGCTTCCTCAAGTCCCCTTCTGCTGATTATAACAACTCCGGGGTCTCCTGTAGTCGCTGCCTCAACAGGTGTCTGTCCCCTTCTACGTTCTCTGGCTTCCACAAGTGCACCCCGCAGCTCCTGGCCAGCTCACTGGGCCCTGCTGCGGTTGTCAGGTTGACCCTGCAGCCAAGTCGCCCTCTGCCTCCTTTGCATAGGGACGCTTGTGACACTGAGGACTCATGCAGCTATCCCTGTGAATGGGGTCAGAGCACACGGGCTCCCACCTGGGCCATGAGCAACTCACGTCGCATCTGCAGCGAGCTTGGCTTCGCTGGCTTTTATGTCACATGATTGTGTTTCAAGAACACACAATCCAGTTCTTTAAATCTCAGAAGAGAAAGAACATGGTGGCTGGATGGTCACATAGGTACAGAAGGATGTTAAGAACATCTCACGGCAACGCGGAGTTCCAGGAAATGCCCCCGAGGGGCAAATTTCTCTCTGATTCTGCTCCTCCGTCCTCCGCTGACTCCGCTCGCAGGTCTTGCCCATGCAGCTGCCACCACCTGCCAGGAAGGTGAAGAACATTCGAGCTTCTCTTCCAACGCAGGACCAGCCCAGGGTGGAGAGGGGTCTGGAACGGCAGGATTCCCGAGGCACGTGCTCTAATTACAAGCTGAAGACTGAAGGAGACTCATTGTGCCCGTGGAAGGAGGCACAGGAGGAGCCGAAACAGAACTTATTGTTAAAACACTCCTTCGCCCTCCTCCAACAACACTCCTGCAGGAATCTCCCAGCTGCGTCTGCACCAGTCTCTGGCCAGAGCCACAGGTATTTGTCTGACAGGCTCTGTTGTTTGATAGCTGTTTGTCGACTGGCTGTGTGTGCTCAGGTATGTGACAGTAGCCTTTTGTTCTTTTTTAATAACAGTATGAAACATACAAGTTTTAATTGGTATTTTTGCCAAAGACAGATAATGTTTTGGGAATTTTATCCACAGGAGCCAAAAAATCAATGTATTGGATTAAGAATAAAAGAGTGGAGTTTTGGCTCACGTTACTGGAAATGCACTGTTAGCTTCAGGTATGGCTGGATCCATTCTCAAAGGATCAGATTAGAACTTTTACTTCTTTGCTCTCCTCCATGTGTTTCTGCATTAGCTCCATTCTCAGATACACCCCTTGAGTGGATGTTCAAGGTCTCAGAGTGTGTCCCATCTCACAGGACCCCAAAAGAGAGGGACCCTCTCTCACCTGACTGTTCAAACAATTGAAATGAACTTAACAGACCTGCCCTGAACATACCCTAGCCATGGTCCTTCACAAACTAATCCCTGTGGGCCGTAGTGATTGGCCAGAGCTGGATCAGTTGCTTGTTTCAGGATTGAGAAGCAGCCTTATCCCCAAAAGCCATATTGGAAGAGAAGGGGGTAAGGAGTGATTGCCCATGAGCCGCCAGAGTGCCGTTTTCCCACACAGGAAGAATGTGGGCTGGCATAAAGAGTAGGCACCCACTACATGTTGCAGAAAATTGGAAGAAAATAAAGACCAGCCATTGATCCCTGTGACAGGAGGCTGACAGACCGTCTGGACAATCTTTTCATACATGAGGAAATTTGGTCAAGTTCAGAGGACCCCCTAACCCACCAACATGACAATGACTCAAATAAGAACGCAAGAGAAGAAGCAGAGGGAGCTTTGGCAAGATGGTGAGACGGGTCAACGTGGTTCTGATCCACGTCCTACAGTGTGTTCCCAGATCCCCCACTATTCAGAACACGTCCCTGTCCCCTGAGCCCTCCGGCCTCCCTCTCCCACTCACCCACCCAATAATTATCTTCTGCATTCTGAAGTCAAGCTATGTGGTCCTGGTCGCTGGCTCAAATCCAGCAACTCCCCCTCCCCCACCAACTGTGTGACTTTGGACAAGTTACTTAACTAATCTTGCCTCCGTTTCCTCATGTGCAAAGGGGGGTGTTGATAATTGTTTCTACTACATAAGATGATTTTGCAGATACAATGAGAGAAAGCAGACACCAAGGGCTTGGCTGAGTGCCTGACTTCCAAGTTCCTCAGTACAGTTGTTTT